CCCATAGGAAGAGCCTCCATTGTAGGGGAAACCAGACCATGGGGATGAGGGCTGGGATGCTGGCTTCTCTGGATATCTCTGGTTTCTGCTCAGGGCAGCTAGGTGGTGCCAGAGTGCACAGAGTGCTGGGCCTCGAGTCTGGAAGACTCGTCTTCCTGAGTTCAAATGTGGCCTCAGACACTTACTAGCTGCGTAACCCTGGGCAAGTCACTTCCCCCTGTTTGCCTCAGTTTCCTCATCTGGAGGAGGAAATGAGCTGGAGAAGGAAATGGCAAACTGCTCCAGTATCTTTGCCAAGAAGACCCCAGATGGGGTCACGGAGGGTCAAACTGGATTGAAACGACTGAACAGCCACAAAATGGTTTCTGGGGTTTGGTCAAGGGGGCCAGAGGGAAGGAGAGCTCTGAGGAAGAGGATGCTGGTGGGGGGTCCTCCGTTATCCTTGGGTCACATGGGGGGTTGAACACTGGGATCCAACGTGAACTGGCCATGGTCAGGGTGGGGGTGGCGGCCCCCCCCAGAGACTTCCAGCTCTCCAGGAACATTTGTCTGCCAGTCCTGGGGGCTGGGGGCTTTTCTGGGCTTCCCCCTGGTCTGTCCGACGGGGCTGCCTCCAGCCCTGGATGTCTTAGGACAACAGCTTTAAGCCACAACTTTGAGGGGCTCCTGGGAGAAAGTGCTAACTGCTTCCCCCCCACCCCCACCCCCACCCCATAGGGTTCCATTATGAGTCAAACAATGAGTCTGTTAAGCGTGAGTTGGAGAAGGCCTTGGAGACAGTTGCTGTGTCCTTCAGCAGCACGTGAGTGACTGTGGCTCTCTGGGTAAAGAGGGGGTCTGGGGAGCTCTCTTCTCTTCCTCCTTAGTCTCCAGACCTCTGGCTGGTGGTCGAGAGGCTCCACTTCTGTCACTGACACCTCGCTCTGACCGTGGGTCACCTAGAAAGATTACAGACTTTGTGAGTCCTGGCTCTGCCACTCACTAGGTGACAGGAAGCAGATCACTTTCTTCTTTGGGCCTCAGTTTCCCTTTTTGTAAAATGAAGGGGGTGGGGGTTGACCAGTGAGGGCCCTTCTAGCTGAACATCTTAGATGATCCCTTCCTTCCTCTGGGCTCTCTGTTTCCTCATCTGTAAAATGGGGGTCATACAGCCCATCTTACCTGTTATCGGGATCAAACAAGGTTGTGGCCCTCAAAGCACTGTATAATTTTATGAGATTATTACTGGCCCCCAGGAGGTGGTGCCGCCATCCTCAGTACTATTGGCCTCCTTACCAGGCTCTCTGCCCTCTCTCCCTGTTCAGTGTGTCTGAGTTCCTCATGGGTGAGATGGACATCAGTACCCTCCTTTCTATGCCTCCCGGTGACCAGAACCAGGTAAGTGGGCCTTGCCCTTTGCTTTCTTGTCAGAGGCTTCTAGATCTTGGGGGACATTGGATCATAGATATGGTAAAAAAAAGAATCTGGCCTGGGGGTCCAGAAACCTCAATGCCAGCCTCTGGCATTGGATCACCCACTATGTGACCTTAAGCAAACGTCTCCCCCTCCACTCTCTAGGCCTCAGTTTCCTACTCTGTCAGTTGGGTTAACACCTGCCAGGCACTGCTTCATAAAAGTGGTAGGAAAATCGCAGGAAACCTGACTTCCCTCTTTATAAGTGGGAGGGACTTTAGTACATCGAATACTGACTCTAGAAGACAGTGTAGATCAGAGCATGTCACCTTTAGCACAGAGGCAGCCTGGTATAGTGCAAAGAATAATGGACTTGGAGTCAGGAGGGGCCTGGGTTCAAATCCTGCTGTTGCCTCTCACTAGGATTGTGACCCAAGACGAGTCATTTCACCTTGAGCCTTATTCCTCATCTATAAAATGGGGATAACGGTACTCGTAATACCTGCCTCACAGGAAGGTGATGCAGAGGTGAAGCATTAAGGATATGTAAGCAGTCATTACAAATAATAGTGCCCGAGTTGGGTGGGCCTTGGGACCCCACATCACAGAGCAGCCAGAAGATACCTTAGAATGTAGAATGTCAAAGCTAAGACCTTTAGAGGAGAAAATGTCAGAGCTGGGAGGAGCGTTGGAACATAGGGTGTTAAAAGTTGGGAGGGACCTTACCTTAGAACATGGATGGTCAGCACTATAAAGGGAACCTTAGAACTCAGAATGCCAGAGCTGAGAAAATAAGAGAGAAGTGACTTACCCAAGGTCACGTGTCTTGAACCCAGGGCCAGGCAGCCTTCCAGGCCCAGGCTCTTCCTTTAAACCTCATTGTCTCCCCCAGGTATCGTAGACCAGTCAAGGTCACACACACATACTTGAAAGTACTGGACGGGGAGGCCTTCCAGTGTGGGTGGTTTGGGCTTGCTTTGCATTGCCTTATGGGGCTATCTAACCTGTTCTCTCTTTCTCTCCTAAGTCCGTGGAAAACCTTTATGGGGGCCTCTCAGGGCAGTGTACGGATAGCATGTCTCCGGGCACAGAACCTTTTGGTAAGCTGGCCTGCTATCTGTGCTGATTTGGGGGAAGGTCCTCGTCCTGGGCGGCCGGCTTGGCCCCGGGGGGGGTTGGGCAGGGAAGGCTGGTAGCTCCGGGGAGCTGGGGGGAGACGTCTATTGGGCAGGTGTGGCCTTTGGTGGCACCTTCTCTTGAAGCCTCCAGCTGGAGTAACGCAGGGTTCGGCACTCCTTGGGGGCTGCAAGCATCTTGTGCGGGCAGGGCCCCAGACTTGGCGCTTGTGGGGCTCTAGCGAGGAGAGAATGCTCAGCTCTTGGTCTCAGGAGGAACCAACACCAGCCCCTGCCCTCAAGAATAGGTCGTTCTGGGGTGAGAAGTGTGGCCTTTGAAGGCAGGGCAGGCACACTGATTGGTGAAAGGCACAGCCCTTGCCAGAGCTCTCTACCAGCTCCCACACTGTCTCTGAGGACAGTTTGGGAGCTGGGGGGCTTCCTCCAAACCTGGTCTTCTGGCTGTAGGCTGCCTGTTGGCGGACGATGTGGACGTGGTGCTGCAGCGCTGTGAGGGGGGCGTGGACGTGGCCTTGCAGTACGCCAAGAACATCGCCAAGTATATGAAAGATCTCATCAATTACCTGGAGAAGCGGACGACACTCGGTGAGACCCAGTGATAGCTGGATTCCTGCATGCATGGGCTCTCCCCAGGAGGAGATAAGAGAAGGTGAAGGCAGTGAATGAGACGAGAGTGACAGGCTCAAGGAAATGTGAAAGCTAGGAAGAACCCAAGGTCAGAGCTGGGAGGGCCCCTAGAACCCAGGATGTCAGAGCTGGGAGGGCCCCTAGAACCCAGGGTGTCAGAGCTGGGAGGGCCCTTAGAACACAGGAGGTCAGAGCTGGGAGGGCCCACTAGAGCACAGGATGTCGGGGCCAAGAGGGGCTTTAGAGATTGCGTAGTCCATTTCCCTTCTTTTATAGTTGAAAAACTGAGTAGTGCCATGGAGGTTGTGACTTGGCCAAGGTTCCAGAGTGTGTTACTGGCAGGGACCTCAGTCTCAGAAATTAGGCGTAATATAAGATGGCATCTTATTAGAGGGGTCAGGCTCTAAGATGCCTAAGAAAAGGAAGAGCTCATTGGTGGTTAGGGAAGTTGCCGTGGAGGAGGGAGGTCAGGCAGGCCCATGGAATGGCGGGAGGACAGAGATCCTTCATTCTGGGTAGGGGCTCAGGATGCGCATACTTTGAGAAGGACACTACTCTTTCCCTCAGTTGTTTGACAGTGGCCTAGTAGACAGGGCACTAGATTTGGAGTTAGGAACCTCTGCTGCTTTGACTGCCTCTGTGACCTTGGGCCAGTTCACCTAAACTCTCCTGCTTCAGTTTCCTCCTGAATAGTGAGGGGCTTTGACCAGGTGATCTTTAGAATTCCTCCCAGCTCTGAATCCTAAGTCCTGTGGACTGATGTCCAAGAGCTCTTTCCCAGTGACTGGAGGTGAGATCCAGAGCATGAGGATTCCCATGGCCCTCGGGCTGTGGGGTGGGGCTGTTCTGTCCTTGGCTCCTGTGGGCTAGCTTCAGGTGCTGAGTAGTGACAGGTCCCTGCTCCTTCTCTCCCCTTGCCCAGAGATGGAGTTTGCCAAAGGTCTGCAGAAGATCGTCAACAGCTGCAAACAGACGATAACCCAGGAGGTGGGCCAATGCTCTTGATGACCCCCCGGAGCAAAGGGTGGGGGTGGGGCCTTTGCTAGGGAGCTGAGGTGGGGGGCTGGCTCTGTGGGTGCAATGGGCTGGATGGCGGGATGAGAAAGGGGCCTCCTGGGTTCGACCTGATCCCTTCTTTCTGCAGCCCCACATGCCTTTCCTGTCCATCTATTCCCTGGCCCTAGAACAGGACATGGAGTTTAGCCATGGGATGCTGCAGGTGGTGGCTACCCTGCAGAACCAGACTTCAATGCAGGTGAGAGCCTCCCCAACCCCTCCTCCATCCCTCTTCCTCTGCTTAGCCCCATCTCCTGAAGCCTTGGACAGAGGAGTCAATGACTTTGACTTTTGAATTGAACTCTGGGATTTCTGCCCAGCATGGGAGTGGGCATAGGAGGGAGATAGTTATCTTCACTGTCATAGATGTCATCTCCTTGGAGCTCTCCTGTGGCTCTCCTCATTGGGGGCGCCTGGTGTCTTTGGGGATCGATAATGGTGGGATTGAGTTGGGGAGAGGTGTGGGCCAGGCTTAGCTGAGGCCTTAGCACGTGGTGGCTGGCTGTGGGGTCGCTCGGCCCACCTAGGCCGCATCAGAGAGGTGTCTCCCTGATACTAGGGCCGGGCCGGGGTTCGCCACCATCTGCACCCGTATCTCCTTCCTCCCTAGCCCCTGACTCTGCGGCGTCTAGAGCACGAGAAGAAAAGGAAGGAGATCAAGGACCAGTGGCACCGGGTGCAGAGGAAGCTGGTAGGGGAGAATCTCCGTGCCTCGTCCATATGGGCAGGGAGGGTCCAGGGGCCGGCAGATCAGAGGAGGTCAGGACTTCCAGGGGCTCAGTCGACCCTCTCCTTCTACAGAGGAGGATTGTGAGGTTCACAGAGGAGGAGGGATTTGTTCAAAGCCGCTCACTGAATCAGCGGCAGAGTCGGGAATGTGGCCCAGGGCTCTTGCTGCTGGTCTGGGGTCCTTCCGTCACCCCACACAGCACGGTGAAGCCAGTTTTGTGTCAGGACGTGGTCTGGAGGCATTCCCGCTGAGGTTAGGAGCTCAGTGAAGGGTGGCCCATGTTAGCTCCCAGGCTTCTTCCTCTTCTGAGATTTTAGGAATCTTGAGTTTTTTCAGTGCCCACTTTTTGCTCGGGCCCAGGCAGCCTCGTGTCTCTTGTGCCTTTGGCAGGCGCTAGCGGGAGGCTGGCAGAGGGGGGTCCTCTCACTCCTGGCCCGGAGTCTGGCCTGGGCCCCACCTCCCCTTCAGCTCTCTCCCCTCCCTCCTTAGCAAGAAGCAGAGACCAACCTTCGAAAGGCAAAGCAGAGCTACATGCAGCGCTGTGAAGACTACGAGAAGGCCCAGTACCTGACCGTAAAGGCCGAGGAGGAGCAGGCTTGGGGCGGTGGGGCCAGTGCAGGGGCTGGGACCAGTAGTGCTGCCACCAAGGCCCTGGACAAAAAGAGGCGGCTGGAGGAAGAGGCCAAGAACAAGGTGAGGAGAGGAGACACTGGCTGGGCTGGCTGGCTGGGGCCAGGAAAGTAGAGGAGCAGGAGCAAGGGAAGGGAGGCTGCTCTGCTCACATGCCTCTCCCTCCTCCCCTTCCCCTTCAGGCCACTAGACAGCCAGAGGGACCAGGAGGGTTGAGCCTGGAGAAGAGAAGACTTGGGGGGGAAGCGGTACTGGGGAGGGAGCATGGATCCCAAGATGGAGAGCTGGGAGGGGTCAGAGCATTGTGCAGATGGGGAAGCTGAGGCTGCAGGGCGAAGCTGCGAGCAGTGGATGGAAGGATGAGACCTTCAGCAGTCTATCAGCAAGCGCTGATTGAGCAGCTGCGGCGTTCCAGGCATTGTGCTCGTTGCTTGTCAGTGAGACCCGAGTTCAGATTCCTGCCTCAGAAGCTTGCGTGACTCTGGGTTTCCCCTTAATGATAGTAACACATATTTTATAGTATTTGGCTGAGTTGTTAAAGGGGTGGACCAGATCTGTGTTCATGTGGTTTCCCAGCACGGGTTTGAGCCGGCCCTGCCGTGCTTCTGTCTTTGAGAGGCACCATGGCATAGTGGATAGCAGAAGTCGGGAAGATCTCGGTTTGAATCTCATATCAGACACTAGCTGTGCGACCTGGGCAAATCACTCAGCCTCTCTGGGCCTCAGTTTCCTCCCCTGTAAAATGAGGGGGTTGACATCCAAAGTTCCTTCCAACTCTGAATCAGTGTCTCCCTGGGAAAAGTTGTGTATGGGTGTGCCTGGTGAGTCGACCCTGAAAGGGCTTCTCTGAGGACTCCCAGGTGTCCTGGGGCCGGCAGTGTCTGAGGCCCCTGTGGGATTTGTGGGGGTCCCCGACGAGCAGTGGCTCATGCATCTCCCTGCCCCAGGCAGAAGAGGCCATGGCCACGTACCGCACCTGCATTGCTGATGCCAAGACGCAGAAGCAGGAGCTGGAGGACGTGAAGGTGAACGCTTTGCGCCAGATCCAGGAGGTCATAAAGCAGAGTGACCAGATTATCAAGTCGGTGAGTCCCCGCGAGCGCTGGCCGGGCCCTCCGGGGTGGGGGCCGCGGTGGGATGGGGACCAAGGAAGGAGGGGTGGGCCGCGCTGGGCTGGGGCCGGGGCCGAGGGTGCAGAGTCAGAGCGGCGCAGCCGAGAAGGAAGAGGACGCCGGGCACGGGGGCGGAAGGGTCCTTGTGCAGAAGCTGTCAGACGGAGGCATGTGGAGCTCAGCCAGTAGCTGAGCGTTCAGTCTGGCCAGAACATCGAATGTGGAGCTGAAAAGGCCATTGGGAGGAGGTGGAGAAGGGCTTCACGTGCCAGGCAGCGAAGTGTTCATTTTGTTTCAGCAGCAGTAGGGAGCCTCTGATGCTTCTTGCGTAGGGGAGTGACTGATTCGATGGCTCGCTTTGGGTCAGTTCCATCAGTGACTGGGTGGCAGATGGCTGGAGAAGGGAGACGATTAGGAGGCTGTTGTGATAGGCCCGGTGAACCGGGCCGGGGCCACGGCCGGGGTAGAAGTGGCCTGACTTGGCGGTAGATTAGACGTGCGTGTGTGTGTCTGTGTCCGTGTCTGTGTGTGTGCTGGCAGACTTAGGAAGGTCCTGGGGAGTTCAGCTTTGACCGTGGTGAGTTTGAGGGGCTGGTAAAACATCCCCGGGGGGTGCTTAGCAGGCAGCTGGAGATGCAGGATTGAGGTTCAGGGAAGAGATTAGGGTTGAATCAAGAAATTTAGACTCCTCTGCATTATTTGTGATCATTCAACCTTTGAGAAGGTATAAAGAGGGAAAAGAAGAGGCTGAGGACACAGGCTTGGGTCACATGAAGGCCAGGAGATAGGAAGACGCTGGGAGGCCAAAGGGAAGACCTGGGTGATCTGGGATGCTCAAGGAGATCTGTTAGTGTTGGCGCATGTTGGCTACACGTGTGTGCGTGTGTATGTGTCTGTGTGTGTCTCCAGTCTCTCTGTCTTTCCAGTCTCTGAGTGTCTCTGGGTTTGTGGGTCTCTGTGTCTGAGCATCCCTATCGATACAGCTCCCTGAGGATGGGGCCTGTCTTTTCTTCTGTTTCTATGTCCCCTGTGTTTACAGAATGCTTTGCACGTAGTAAGTGTCTCGTAAATGTTTTTTGTTCGTTCTCTCAGTTCTTTTTTAATGTTTGATCTTCCTGTCTCCAGCTCAGCCCTACCCCAGGGCTTCGCATCTAGACGCTTAATAAATTATCAGGCACTTAACGAAGGTGCCTGGGCATGTGCTGTTTGTGCATCTCTCCATGGCTGTCTGGTCCCTGTGTCCGTTCTAAGCCAATGTCTGCATGTAGGCTTTGGAGGGAACAGGACTGAGCCCGAGTACCCAGAGCCACCTTCCTAACCTCTCCCCATCCCTGGACCCCGCAGGCCACCATCTCCTACTACCAAACCATGCACATGCAGACGGCCCCGTTACCGGTCAACTTCCAGACCACGTGTGAGAGCAGCAAGCTGTATGACCCGGGGCAGCAGTACGCCTCCC